CGATCAAATTGTGGCGCATTATCGTTTACATCCAGTACTTGCACCGTAAATTGACAAAAACCAATTAGCGGTCGCTCGCCCTTATCTGTTGCCTATAAAAGATGGCCGTATAGTAGCTACTTTGCATTAAAATGGCTTGCATATAATAGAAATTGATAACAGCATTTTATTTCGCTATTAAAATTCAAAAATTGCTATATGACCATTTTGTTGAGTTTTCCAGTTTTTGGACATATACCACCCTCTGCTTAAATTGTTGTCAGTAAAATTTATCTTATTATCAGGCCTTCAAATTGTAACCATCACTAATTCGCTATGATTGTCTTACCATTGTTTCCCTTACGAGTATCGTTTTCACAGTTTTATCAACATTATTATTATTATTATCGTTTTTAGCACCGCTTTTGCATTCAGCACTGCAATTGTTATCATTTTATTACCGCTGATACTCTAAATGTTTCCAGTACGTGACAGAGTGGACGCTAAAAAAATCATATGTATAAAAAAGGAGAGGAAAAATAAAATTGAAAGAAAAAGACCAAAAAATAAAATTAAAAGTAAATTGAGAAATAAATTCGGAAACAAATCTGAAAAATTTACGAATGCGAAAACCCAAAATTCCATAAAAACGAGGAACTAAAAAATCCAAAAAAAAATTCGAAATTATCTGTTCTTTGTAGTAAAGCATCCTGCATTAGAAGGCCTAGGCATTCGTGTGTTTCTGAGATAACTTCAGGATTATTGCGCTTTAAAACTAGGGCTTATCGTTTTTTTTCTTCTTTTTGGAATATGAGTTTTCCGGTGCTTAACCACTATTACTACAAGTGTTTTTTCGCTATTACTGTAATTGATACAGCTATAATCATCATATCACTGATGCTGTAGATGATGATATTTCTTGTACTGCTTCAGCCTCTAACTGCTTTACTTCTGCTACTACTGCAGTTGTCAACATCATTATCATTAACATCAGTATTATCATCATTAACATTAATATCATAGCCATTTTGAAAACAAATTGGAATGCTCACCTTCACAGTGACTTCTTCCTGTGCTCGTTGTTCTCGGTCGAAGCGTACAAATGGTGATGGTTTCAGTTCGCCGGTTTCTGGATTAATGATGAACGGTTTTCGGGATTCCGACTGTGAGTAGTACAGCGAATAAACGATATCTCCGTTGGGAGGCGAATCTTCGTCGGTTGCAACTACCTTCAATGAAAGCTCCTTGCTCGTGTGGCTTCCCAGAATCAAGGAATAATTTAATTTCGGGATTTTGGGTCCACTTATGCAGCCAAAAAATTTGCTTTGTGCATTTTGCCTTTGTTGCGT